AGCAAGTCGAAAGTCCAAGAGAGAAAACGCCTCGACTTTAAGAGGAACAGCTTTTGTAATTGAAGGCATCGATATTTGTCTCTTTTAGCACTTCTTATGCTAACGATAGAAGTAAGGACGCCAGACCTAGATTGTAAAAGTGATTGAGCTAAATACTTCCTCGGCTAGGTGAATTATTTCCCACAGAGCAAGGAAACCACGTTTGCCTCTATGAAGCTGCTTAATTCACAACGGGACTCTCTTTCCAAAACCCTGTCTCCATCGTGGGCCGATGCAAGGGTAGGTAAATAAAAAGGATAAGGTTTTCGCCGCTAATGAACCCCTTAGTAGGATGTGGATGGATTCTACTTTCATTCAACCTGCGCGAGGAGTCATTTCACCCATCTTCCTTGCTCTCTAGCAGTGGGCAAAAACCCCCACATTAAGCCACAATTGTTTCTTTGCCTCATCCTGTGTTGAATGCCCTCCAACATGCAGCAAAAACAATAAAGAAATGACGTGGGAATAAAGCTTTCAGCATAAAGCAGCTTTACATGAGTCCACAGGGGTTTACAGGAATTAACAAAACCGCCCCAGTATGTTGCATTAGCGCCAAGAACAAGCACGAATATAGAGCACTAATTCCGAAATATATCACGTAACTCAGAGAAGAATCAATCACGACTAAATTATATAACAAAGGTATTAACTTATAACAAGGAATTATTCAAGCATCACGCGATTTTTCTGGACGAATTTGAGGTCAAAAAAATGAGTGGAGGGGGGGGGGGGGGGCACTGCAGTTGGGGGGCACACGGTGGTGCGCGGGTGTGCCATGTCAAAACACAACACAGCGGAAAATCGATATAGCGCAAAGGAAGGCACACGCACCCTCCGAAAAACACAAGTGAAACCCTGTTCTACGTAGACGCGCTTTGACGTCGCATGGTTACGCCCCCCCCCCCCCCACCTGCTTTGCTCGAAAATTAGTTACAGGTTACAGGCTTGTCAACGGTGTATTGCAAAAACTAATGAAAAAGAGCAACAATTAAAGTTAATTAAAAGTGCTTGGGTAGTTTCTTCATGTAACTCAATACGAATCTGGCTCTAGAAAATAACAATTTGTTCTTAGAAAGAGCTGTGAAAACTAGAAGTCCTGCAGATGTATGGAAGAAAAATCAGTGATTGTGTGCGTAAATACGGTCATGACGGCACAACTGACGCTTTTACTCGAATGATTGTGGTGTCGTGACGTTGCGAGTGAAACCAGAAAGTGTACGTAATAACGGCCACAATGACATAACTGACGCCTACACTCATGTGTGGTGTGCAAATTGCCTTGGGCCATTGATTGCACCACGATTTCGTAGCACATTGTATCCGCCAAAAAGATTTTGCTCCAGGCCAAATTTCAACGGATCGAGAAAACTGTACCGCTACGGATTTACAGCTACATACAATGAGCAAAAGCGAACGTCAAATTTAACTCTCAAAAACTCGAAAGCTCACCTTGTCGTTTATCTTCGGACCTATAAAAGCCATTTTCTGGCCATTTGAAATCCTTTTGAGATGTTTCCAGACGGTTGTCATACCGACACCGAACTTTTTTGCAAGTTTGGAGATGGACATTTTCGGATTCGCCTTCACTGTCCGCTCCAGCTCGTCATCATCCAGAACGCGTGATCCGCCAGGATTCCCCCTTTTATAAAAGGTTTGTCTGCCACGTCGAAATCTTGTGTACCACTTGACCACTGTTCCATCTGCAATCGCACCTTGGCCAAAGGCGCGAATCAAATTCTCGTGGGCCGTTCTCGTGCTCCGACCAAGCTTATATTCGTACAGCAGACATATCAGGACATGGTCGTTCACTTTGCGATACATTATCACTGAAACTTGGAAAAAATCATTCTCAGTTAATTTTCCCTTGGATTTGGGGAGGTTAAACTAGCTGTAAGTGTAGTACAGGTTCACTGTTAAAGGCACACTCCACGATCAGATGCAAACTTGCTCTCCTTTACGGCAAGTAGCTTGGTCTAGTGGTGGCGGATGCACCACTTTCGCGGCGTGAAAGCGAGTGAAGAAGGCACCCGTGCCCTCGTTCATTCCAACGGCCCGCCCGCTTCCACTGGCCCTGCCCACCGCTCTATACGGTTACAAGAACAGAAGACCCACTAAAGAAGGGGCATTGTTGTCAAC